AAATCCCTCAACTCTGCAGTTTGCTCCTTAAATCGGTTACCAGCACACACATTTGTTGATCTTCAGGTCATGTTACACAGCTAGTATTTTACTGCAGCATCCACTGCTGCTTCCTCTTGCCACAACTATCTTCCTAAAGCCAATTTTCAACTACAAAAGACTCGTACAGTTAGACATTCTCTTCTCACTATTGCATGCATCCATAATGCACACACGATGAATGTAATGGGTGGAGGTCACCAGCAATCAGATCAACTGAAATTAAGTCTCTTACACTGGAACTTTGTTCTGTACTGATATAAATTTGCAAAGAACTATTAAACAAAATACCTACAATAAACCCACCTGTGAAGAGAAAGCTAATGTCAAGCCACAAAAATGACAACTTAATCACTTTCCTGTGGTTTGTGCTGTTACACCAAAGCCTCCCAGCAGATGTACTTGTGAGCAGTACCGCTTGAGGACTTTGCTTTCAACCCATATTATCAAACAGATAAACACACAAACATCCCATTGCTGTACCTGTAGGAGATGGTGCCCCAGAAGCTGCCTCTTGGTCGGGGTGCAGAGTGGTGGGCTCTGTGTGCCCCTCAGCAGGTCCTGAGGACAGTGGTCCAACCTCCAGTTCCTCTTCAATGGATTCCAGTGTTTTTAAGGCTAAAGTCTTTGACTTTTCCCCGTAAGAAAAACTCCCTTGGCCCTCCTCCCCTCCCTGCAAGTCCTGTACTGCAACACACTCCAGGTTCAGCACAGAGTTCTCTTCACTTTTATGGCCCTGGTTTTCTGCCCATTTTTGCGGTTCCTCACACCTCTGGGTTCTGAATGGACTTGAGCCTTCTGCTTGTGCATCAGGGCCCATCAAAGAGTCACTGTCATTTAATTGTTCTGCTGCCTGATCACCCTCTGCTGACAGAGCAGTTTGCAGTAGTATGGCTTCTTCAGCTTTCTTATGCTGACAGGCAGAGACCTCTTGCTCTTCACCATCTGACAACAGTCCATCTGTAGGAGCTTTGACAGAACAGGGACTATGACTAGTCTGATTCTCATTTACAGTCAATATTTGTTCAGTCTCTTTGACTTTCCCTGGGCTGTCCCTTCTTCCCAGCTCAGATTCGTCTACTTCTCCTTGGTTCTGTTCAGGAGGATTTAACAGAGAACGAAGATTTGCATCCTGATCGCTGCAGCAAGCGCCAACTGCTCCTACATCTGCCGCGTTCCCTGAAGGACAGCCTCTCTCCACACCAACATCTGAACTCTCAGGCATGATAAGCAAGGTAGTGGCTTGGACTGGAGCAATGCTTTCACTGACACTCTGGCAAGAAACATCAGAACCTTCCTTCGGTGTGCAATGTGGTCCCAGAGGCCCTAGGGCAGACAGAAGAGAGGCAGCCATCTGTGTCACCTCATTTTGACCCTCGTTCAGTGGCTCCCCATGTACTCTCAGTATCACCTCCTCTTTAGCAAGAGTAGCATCTAGAATCGTTTCTGGGCTCTGCTCTGATGTTTCAACACCAGGATTTCCACTAGGACCATCACTTTCTCCTTCCATGTTTCCAGGAGCACCAGGCATTTGTGCTTTGCAGTTGACACTGTCTCCAGCACACACGTCGCTGTAGCTGCACAGAGCGTATTGCCAACCAATTAAGTGTTCGCTGCGGGTCTCCGGCTCTGCAGATGAATCTTCTGCACTGCAGGCAGGAGACTCGGCCACAGAAAAGCTATTCCCCATGTTTCCAGGACCACCTGATATCAGATGACCTTCTGGAGACAGTTCTCCATGTGCCATCATTTTGTTGCTTTCCAACGGAATTACATTTTTGAGAACTTCTGTAGATGAAGTCCTCAGAGTGTCTATTTGACAGTGCTCCTTCTGCATCAGTGCTGACTGAATTAAGTTCTTGGAGTAGGTACTGTCTTGGATGACAATAAACCTGTGCTTACCTTTAGACGCATTCCCTCGTGTTCTGGGCTGAGTTAGATAATTTAAAGCTAACGACTGGGTTAAAGAGCCTGTTTGTGGCCCAAACCTGGGCAGCGAAACTTCTGTCAGCTCAACGTACTCCCCTTCAAGGTCACTTTTCAAGTTCTCTTGAGGCACGGGACTTGTACAGACACCATTGACAAGAGCTTCACTTAACTGCGGAGCTGTGCTGCTAATGACCAGGTTGTCTTGATTTGGACTTTGTTCCTGTAGATACTGAGATCCTAGGTCTGGTGAACTGCACTCAGCATGGTCCATGGGGAGGCACAAAATGGAACGTTCCTCTGTTATTTCTGGAGAGATGATACTGTTTTCAATTATTTTTGGCTTATTTATAAATTCAGGTTTAACCACTTTATCCCAGGGGACACGAAATATTTTATCATCAGTGGTTAGTAAACAATTTTCCAGTGCTATACCCATCCGCTCTCCATTGAAAGTATTCAACCATTCCAGAGTAAAAATAGAGGTATAGGAAACTTCTGGAATCACGACTTCCTCTACATTATGCTTGTCTTTTGCCAAACATTTCAATACAATTCGTGGAGACTTCTTCAGATAGGGGACCACCTGCAGGTAGAAGTCACCAGGCTTCAAGATTCGCCAGTCAATGGAAGCCAGCTGGACTACAATCTTCTCGTGAATACATAGGGGCCAGCCCTCATGGCGAAACAGCAAGCCACAGTACTGAACCTGTGGAGAAAAGAGAAAGTGTTTTCAGCATCAGGAACAGGTCTCAGCTCAAGCTTTTGGACAAGAGAGATCAATACTTCTCTTTCACAGCTGTAGCAACAGAACAGTTGGATTTAGGGTCTTTGGCTATTAGTGTAGGCGAGGTTTTTCCGTACTGAGGTCTCCTCTTTAAAAAAGCAGAAACAAGAAAAGCTACCAATACAAATCACTGGCATCTCAGGAATATGAGCCAACCAGCTGCCAGAAGTCTCAGCCCTATTTTAAAGCTGGGACAGCACAGACAGGCAGAGGTCTTAAGTCCCAGAACCCCAGCGCAGAGAAATCACAAGTTCTCACCTCCCAGTGCTCAAGCCGGGAGACCCTGTCTCTACCTCATTTCTGACTCATTAGACCAAGTGGGCTGAGTAAGAAAGCGAAAATTCAGGCCATACAGCATCCCTAACCAAGTACCGTTAGAGAAACGCAGGGAAACAGCAGTCTGCTTACAACACATGGACAAAACCTGCTGTCCTCAACTAAGGACCATCCACAGCCTTAACAGAGAAGGTGCCAAATACACATCACTTCCATAACAGCCACAGCGAGCTCTAGGTTGTACCAGGTACACTCGATACCAACCTGCCAGAAGGAGGCTGTAGGTGCAGAAACCTCCTTGCACAGGATGACGCTAATCAGCCTGGCACCACAAAAGGTCTTTTCTCTGGTGAAGCAGTGTTGGGTCTTTAGACTGAGGTCTGCTGCAAGGGAGGTAGTGAAAAGCTTTGCTGATGAGGGAAGGCAGAATGAAAATGCCAAGGTCTGTCTGAGGACTTGTTTTTATTGCCTAATGTGCTCTGCTGGAGAATGCAGCATGTTCCACCTAATTTTGGTTAATGCAATTTAAAGAGCATGGAGCCGAGTAAAGAGCATCGCTCCTCTGGTGCTATCAAGAGCCTACGCAAGACAGGCGGAGATAAGTTATATGGGATGCAGCAGCAAGGGATGGCTGCAACCTGGCAGTGAACGGAGGGAGATACTGCAGAGATGAAGCAGGAGAAAGGAGGCAGCAAACGAGGAAAGCATAGCAGAAGCACAGAGAAAGAAGGCAGCAAGTCCCATCAGCAAGCTGCGAGGAACTACACTTAGCATACCTGGGATCTCCTCGTTCCCAAAACATAGCAGCACCCAGGACAAGTCTCAGACAAATCCCAGTTGAGTAAAAGAAGTTTCATGGCTGAACTGACTTGACTCTATTTACAGCTTTATCACAACTTCAAAAAATAAAATCACTGCTTTGAACTTGATTCTGTTTGGGTAAAGTAAGACTCAAATTGATGGCTTATGTCACAGCTCCGTTTCATGATTAAGTTCGTCTTTCCCTGTCATGACAAGGGTTTAGATAGGATTCATCTGCATTGGATGCAATACTTAAATTGGAAAGCTGTCATCTGGAAGCCCAGAGACTTCAGTATTGGCAGCATTAGACTTCAGAGATTTTATCTTGTTTAAAAGATACATGATCTCATGGAACCCTTGACAGAGAAAGCAATTTATAAAAATGCTGTCTGTCTTTCAATCTGCAGGCCAGACAGATGAAAGAAAAAAATACTTGAATTCAAACATTTTACCATAGAGCAGAGAAACTACAGAACTGGAAGGAACCTCCTGGTTCCTCACACACCTTGAAACAACAGGTAATGGCATCATGTAATTTCTTTCCTATGTTCATCAAGCCCTTCAGCCCAGCCAGATTTCTTATCCTCACTACACCTAACACAAAGTTGCTCAGAGGCTTGAGAGTCCAAATCATCCTTCAGATTCAGTAATTCCTCCTCCTCCACCCTGGAGCTTATTCTCTGCATGTGTTCCCATTACTTAAAATTATTAAGCCATGTCACACCACCTTAGCACATCTCCCTTGATCATCTCTTAGGCCTGCCTGAAGCACCTCCCTGGCGATGCCATTTTTTTTTTTTAAATACAACACATTTCTCTGTTTCACTTTTTCATTGTGCAAAGCATTGCAAAAACACTGCGTATCACAGCACCAACGCTTCCCAACTGTGCTGGAAGCATCTCTTAAAGCTAAGATTACACTTGTCTTCCAGTCATGCCCCTACAGTAACCTGCTAGTTTTTCTTTCCAAACTGATGAACCCCAGTTCACAACAGAAATTCTGCCTATTACTTTGGGGAGGCCCATGCTTGCCCTCCGAGTCTACAGTTATAAAAACTTAAGTAATAAAGTTTTATAGCTCATCTTGTGTAATACATTTATCACCCCCTTCCTCCTCCAGGTTATTGCTCAGTCTCCCAGACTGGTTTCATCACAAATATCTGTCATATGCATACTCTCACTTTTTATGCCAAGGTCACGGATGAAAAGTAATGTGTGTCTCGTGTCTCATGACTCCTGCCTCTAACTCAGTTTTCACTGCAGTACAAACACCCTCCCTTTCACCAGTTTGTTACCCATCTTGCAATACTTGCATAAACCTCCATCCCTTTGACACAGTAATTAATTTTCCATATTACTTCGTAATAAATCCTTTATGGAAGAGATTAGAAAATGAAACTTTTCTCTCTAGAGAGAGCTGGTTTATGAAAAAGGCTAGTCTTACACTACCTACCATAGAGCAAATCACATGAAAAAACATTATCCAGTTTTTAATGGGTCAGTTAATTCAGTCCTTGTTCACTGCATGTTGTTGTACACTCAGCTTGTTCTCTGTTTTTTGTTACTAGCCCTGACTTAACAGATTCAATAAAAATCCCTGTTATCAGACATTGGGCATTACATGGTAACTTCTTCCATATTCCAGGATGGAGACCAGCCAGTCCCCTTTTCTTCGACACGGTCAATTCCATAGCCATCTCAGTCATGGCATTTTATTTCTGTTCAACTCAGTGCACTGTTCACTTACTGTTGTGCCTACATGCTGTATTACTACTACACTGAATCTTACTTTAGTTTTCCTTTGTTTGAAGGATCATATTAATACTACCTTTACATTCTAACCTTGAATCAGGGCAGGCCCACCTCCCTTTCTTTTCTCTTTCTCTTAAGTTAGAGTTAAAAAGCCCTCTAACTTAACACAGTTGCTTGTACTCCCCCTCAAAGTCATGGGGAGCTAAGCTGTGCAGTCTTATCTTCTCATGATTTCTGATCTCGAAAATACAGATGCCTCTACCAGCTAGTTTCTTTCTTACACAGCATGGTTAAACTCAGCAAACCAAGACCTCCTTTTGCAGCACACAGTTTGCAGAAGTTGTTACCGGCTTCAGCAAGTCCCAGGCTATACGTACGTCTTGGACTTTTCCATCAAGCTCAAGACCAACACAGCACCTCAGTCAATACAGCTTCTATCCCCTACAGAAGTGCACAAGCCAAGTATTTTGTACATAAGGTTTTAAAGAAAAACAATTTGCAGTTTTCCAGAAAAGACTATACAGTTGCACCCTACACCACATTAACCCCTCTTCTGCCATTAGAGTTATCTCCTAGTATGTATATAAAGGCCATCTGTACCAAGGGCCTTTCAGGGGAAGAAGAGGCAGACAAAAAAAGATCAGTTCTCAAACTATTATAAATAGTTTACACAGCTGAAAATGAGACACAATCAGCAGTAGCATATAAACATAAAGCTGAACTCCATCTGCACCTACCTGACAGGGTTTCTGTTAAAACCTGCACACAGAGCTACCTATTTGGGGGCCATTCATACATTAAGAAATCCAGAACCCAATCTCACCACTTAGATGACCTGTCTGCCTGCTGACCGACAAGTGGAAGAAAACTCAGGAATAAAAATCACCAAACCCAAAATGCAGAATGCATTGAAGGTCCTGAAAAACCCTACAAAGCCACAGTCTGAACTGCAGCAAGAGCTAAAGTAACACCCAGGGAGGAATGCAAGGCCTTCAATAGCCGAAACATCTCAGAGTTTTTGAACTTTGTAAGTGGAGCATCCTCCTACTGCTCCTGCTCCAAAAAGCACCTTCAAAGGGAACATTACGTGAAGAGGCTTCTTTCAGTCGTTTTTAACATTTCACTTTGAGGCTCCAGTATTTGCTCTTCTCGTGTCCAATCGCTACTGAGCCAAACCAGGCTTGTCAGAGGAGTGCCAGGAACAGCCTCTACGCCCAGCGGTTGCAGCCAGGAATAAAGCTGCCTCTGAGAAAAGAGCTAGGCACCAGTAACAAAGATGGCACAAAGGTGGTAGCTCCTACAGCCACGGGGATGGCTAGGCTGGAACAGACCAGCAGTCCATTTAGCTCAGGACATCATCTGAAGGCCAGGGGCAAAACCTGGTCTCTGTGGTAAGCAGAGACCCTTTGGCACATCCCTCCACACGCCCTTCTCCAGCCTCTGAGGATCACATACAGGCTATTGATCTTAATATGCCCAGCTGAAGCCCATGAACTTGTCTAATACTTCATGAAGCCACTTACACTTTTGTCACTGCAGAGGCTGACAAAAGTTCTAGCTCTCAAGATTTTTTACAGTAGTCATTCAGACAGGAGTTACTTCTCTCTTTGTTTAGGAAAAGCGCACATGCACTACAAACTAAGGAGAAAACATTGCTTTTGTTTAGACTCTCGAAAAGGCAGACAAAACTTTTAAAGAACAAGAAACAAGAAATAGTCCTCTGATTCCACACAGTGAAGACAAAAGGAGGGGCGCACAGTGGAGGTTTGGGGAGAGGAGTCCACAAGTGAAAGAAGTAACTTTCAGCAATAAAAATTCAAACAAGCAGACTTCTAATTAAAATATGGAATAGCCTGGGCCCACCTCTAAACACAGTACAAGGTACCTAGAGCTCCCCTTGATCTCCCTGTATTGCCACTCTGGAAGTACAGAGCCACAAGTCAAGGCCAGAAAGGGTCACAAGCAAGGAGGAAAGGCTCAGGGTGTCCAGCTGTGCTCCAAGAGGCCTGTGCCTGCACTCTGCCTCTCGCTGCCCACTCTCCCAGCCATTTCAGACCTCAGCAAAAGCTCCCCCCCATACCTAATGAGGGCAG